TAAATCTAGCTATACTGGTGTGTATGTCCATACATGTGTGTGAGTGTGTGTGTGTGTGTGTGTGTGTGTGTGTGTGTGTGTGTGTGTGTGTTCCCCCTATATTCCTTCCTGCATGTGGAATAAATCCTTTTATGTGGGTCTGGGAGATTTCCAGATCCTGTTCTTATGGTGCAGTATTGTTGTCATAATGTGTGTTATGGTACTTTGTTACTGTGCGGCACCACGTATCTCATCACAACAGGAGGATGGACAACACTCTGAGGGCATGCGAGCGGCTGCTCCCCGCCGCGACCAAAAGTGGCCGGAGCTGTTTGAATTGGATTATCTCATACATTTTCTATTATCCAGGAAGACCTTGAAAGAGATAGGCTTGCTGAGAGCCAGAGCCCTTCATATAAAGGGTTTGGCCAATTTGTAATATGCCTCCTCTCTCAAGTTGATACATTTGTTTAACTCGCATTATTTATCTGGACTTATCCAGGTTAGTCTCGTTGAGATCAAGGCAGGCCTAAACAGACCTGGCTGACGTACCGGCAGCACGATTAATTAGCAGGTAGAAAACACAATTAAAACATGTCAGTATGGATGGTGATTAATCCCAGAAAAGCACACGGGAGAGAAGTAGAGCAAGAAAGAATGAGGTAGACAGAGAGGCAGTAGACACATATTAATTGAAGCAATTGAAAAACATCACCTCTAGGGGGAAATATGGAGCGACTGTGCCCATATCCACAGGGAAATGCCAGTTTTTAAAGGGTCGCTTCACCCAAACTACATAAAAACATCTGCTGTCTCAGCACACAGATAGTTTCAGCTTTTTTATGCTGAGATTTTGAGATACCTGTTTCTGAAACTTCTGTCACTCCAGTGGGGGTAAACAGAATTTCATATGTGGTGCTCAAAAGATTTTAACAGGTTCACTTGGGGACATCTTCTCAGTTAGAGGGTAGCTCCAGAAAAGATGGTGACACAGGTTTATCCAGCTAACATGCCTGCTGTAAAATTCATTTTGGCTGCTCGTTATTATCAGATTTTAAACTAACACAGCTAATTTGTTAGCAAACATTAGCCTATTTACACATCCAGCACATATGTAGCAACTTAAGAATTCATTTGGAATCATGTTTCCGACAAATGCTGCTCGATTATTCGTATTGAACTCTGCGGTCTCCACCACTCCCAAGGGGAATATCGCTAGATGCTGCAATATGTTCACAAGCTAGTCGATAACTTTGCCTCTCCGCTGTTTGCTGCTGATCAGGTAGCGTACAGTCTGGTTTTTTTAGAGCTTTTTTTGCAGAAAACTCCAGAGCAAATGGTAAAGCTGCAAGCCGCAAAAAACCACAACAACGCATCAAAATCATCTATGTAACCCAGGTGGATCACACACTGAGGTGCTCCAAGTTTGAGCTGTTAAGAGATAGTTGGAATGGAAGGAGGACCACAGTAAAGCTGATTTTTAACTTTATTTTTGGTACTATTTCAGTAAAGTTGCCACATCTTCCTCCACTGTGTTGTGACCAGAACATTGATTGAGTGATTTTCAATTCTATAAATATTAAGTCAGTACTTGTGACTTTGTAGAGAACGTCCTTCTCAGGCTGTTTGGGTAGCAGCAAACTTTTGATGAACACAAGAAGAGACGACACATCCTGATAGCTCAATACAAGCTGTGTGCTTGATGTTGTGTGATCAATTAAGACACACAGCTGCTCATTTCCCCAGCTGTTTGTGTCATTTCACTGCCTCAGACTGGCTGCTGTTTGGATATGATGCATTATTCTTGCATAGTCTCTGAGCATCTCATCAGTGCCTAAATCACCATCCAGTATATTAATAGGTGTGCCATGGAAGACTTGGCACCAAAAAACATGTATATTTATTTTCTATTTTGCATGAAATTTCTCTTCCAGAATACTAGTCTTCTAGCACCACTCAGCATAGCATTTGTCTACTGTCTGGGTTCAATATATGGTGTTATAAGGTCACTCCTACCTTGACAAACAAGCTAGATGAAGATGGATATCTTTCCAGTAGCATTTACTGATCACAAGCACTTCCTGGTTTCTCTTGGACATGTGATTGAATTATCCAATCAGGAGTTAGGAAGGATAAAGGTAAGTGTGGGGGAACCAACACAGGTACATTGGAATGATTGGGATTGTTCTAAATTTCAAGTAATATATATACTTATATATTTGGAAAACAAAAGTGTAATTACACTGTATTATACTGTCATTATGTAATCTCAGCTACATTTATTTCACCTTATTTAATTCCTGTAATTAATATTGTAATATTTACTCCAAATAAACAACATTTCTCTAGCAGCTACTTCAAATTAAGATTTTACATAAAATCACACTTTTTGGCTTGTTACCCAAAAAAGTAATCCCTCTTTTGGGGGCCCTTAACACATTTCAGAAGTCTATAACTTATTAGCAGCTCCACCTAAAAGCCATTTCTCAACTACAAATTCTCAAATAGCTTCATCTAAATAATTGTTTGAGACCCAAAGAGGTTAAGTCATCCATTATTTCACAAAAAAAGCAGAAATGAGAGAACAGTCCAAGAAATGAACACAAGTTGTGCAGCTGATATTTGTTTTTTCTTCTGTCTCACCTCATTAATCATCGAACGCCCGCTAAGATTAATCCTATGACCATTTGGAAGGGCCTGCTCCCTAGTTTGGAAACCACTGGACTGAACAACCTAAAGTAGTTAAAACAAGCTCCACCTCGACCAGCTAGAACAGCAAAATGCTGATTGCACGTTGATGTGTCAGTATTAATAATGTATAGTATTAATCTAATAATGTCAGCTATAATAATATACGATTCAGCCTCAGTAAGTTTTGCTGATAGTACTTTTGTGCTTTTACTTTGGAGAGATTTTGAATACTCGACTCTTACTTGTGATGGAGTCATTTTATATTGTTGTATTGGTACCAGATGTTACTCCCTTCACCAATCCTAACTGGGGAATAACTTACTATAACCGCCATGTCCTCTTCCCAATAAGTTTTCTAACCTTGCAGTTTGTTTACCAGTATCTTCTGACTGCTCTATTTCTGGCACTGTTGGACTTCTTTTTTAGCAATTTCACAGCATTCCCAGATCACAGCAAGTAACTTGGTTGAATACAGTCTTACTATTATGACCAAAACTTGTCAGTAAAGCCCAAGTGGGAATAAACCGGAAAGGATCCTGTACATTTTACATGAGCAGGGATGATTTTGGTGTCTGTCTTCTCATCCCTTTTTGCCACTGGGCTGGTTTCTCAAAAAAGACTTGCCGTAATCCTCAAAGTTTAGAAAGAGAATTAGCTTTAGATTAAAGTTGAAGAATGAATGTTGTCAGTGGAAGGTCCTCACAAGTGCAGCGGGACAGAGTTGTGTGTGTGTGCAGAAAAAAGGCACAGCATGAGCAATGACAGTGCCAGGGTCTAACAGGGGGAACCAACCTCGCCAGGGCTCCAGAGCCTAGATTCATTGCTTTAGTAGCAATGCATTTTTGATGTGCCCCGTTTCTGCTTCAACTTCTCCGTACGACCCTGACGGAATAACAGCGCCCCCAGCAACCGTCCATATAGCTTAAATTTATCCTGTGACGTGTGCAATGTGTAGGTGTTTGTGTGAGTGTGTGTATGTGTGTGTGTGTGTGTGTGTGTGTGTGTGTGTGTGTGTGGGGTGAGAAAGAAGGAGCACAGGGAGATGAAAAGAAAGACAGAAAGAGAGAGGGAGACAGCGAGAAAGGGAGAAAATGTTCCCCCTTGCCTGTTAAATATTTGAGAAGCCTTCTGTGGAAAAGTGATGCAGTCAGAGACAGGCCTGTTAGCTCAGTGTGTGTGTGTGTGTGTGTGTGTGTGTGTGTGTGTGTTTGGTTGATGCAGAGAGAGAGACAGGGCTGTTAGTTTGGACTAATTCAGCCGCGAGCGAGAGGGAGCACTTTAACTGTTTATTTATCTACCTGGGAGATAGAGGGAGGGTAAAAAAAAAAAAAAAGAGGGGGGAGGGAGGGAGAGAAGAAGGGTGAGAGAGACAGAAAGAGAGAGAGAAAAGAGAGAGAGAGAGAGAGAGAGAGAGAGGAGGCTGGCTAGGTTGTCACAAACCATTAGACAGACGGGTCCAGAGTGCTCTGCCCCATGTCAATGAGAGAAGCCCAGCTAAAGACGGCCGTGTGTGTTGTTGTGTTTGTGTTTGTGTGTGTGTGTGTGTGTGTGTGTGTGTGTGTGTCGTGTGTGTGTGTGTGTGTGTGTGTGTGTGCAGCCTTGTGTGCATGTGTGTGTTTATGTCGTTCTTTGTGTTTGTTTATTTATGGATGTGGTTTTTGCACAAGTACTTTCAATTGACAGACAAATAATGTGTGCTTGTGCACAAGTGGTCGAAATTAGCCGAAAGAAAGGTAAATGCATTTTTGTGTGTGTGTGTGAGTGTGTTTGTGTGCGAGTGTGTGAGTCTGTGTGTGTGAGTGAGAGAGAGAGAGAGAGAGAGAGAGAGAGAGAGAGAGAGAGAGAGGAGAGGGAGGGAGTGAAAGAGGGAGAGAGAGCGAGTGAATCTCTAGACATTGATGAGAAGAGGAGGCAGGATGCCCTCATTGTCTAAGACAAAAGGAGCTCCCTGTACCACAGAACAAAATATCCAGTGTGCCTGAACATGCACACACACACTTCAACTTGTATGTGTGTGTCTCTGTGTGTGTGTGTTGCTCGCTCATTGTAAAAAAAAACATCAATATTGCAATATTCAGTCATAATATTCAGGATAAAATGGGGGGGGGGTGATGTGTTCAGACAGCATGTGGCAAAAAATTGGAAGTGTGTAGTTCCTTTTAGATTCAAAGGCTCTGTCTGCATGCTAGGATTGTCTATCATTATTCTGAAATCCACAGCCTACATGTCAGGCAGGTAAACAGTGCAGTGCAAACACACACACACACACACACACACACACACACACACACACACACACAGTTTAAGGCCTAACTTGTACAAAAACTCACTTGGGATTGGAGCTGTTCCAGTAGACAGCATGTCTGTCAAATATGATCTTCTCCTCTGCCCACACGGACACCCAGGACAGGATGGTCAGCACCACCACCTCCATCACACACTTCTGCCCGAGCTGGCACAACATCATAGACATCCAGGTGGAATCTCTCTCTCTCTCTCTCTGGCTGGGATCAGGCTTTCACTTCGCTGCTGCTGCAGAAATCCTCTCTAGATCATTAATGTCCGTCTGCGCGTCTTTGGACAAATCGGGTCGGCGGTTCATGGATCGTTAACTGGCTTGATGCGAGCTCCGATAACCCCCAGAGGATGTTTCAAGTCATACTGAATGGCTGAAATTCACTTTCAAACTTCGTCAGCCGCGGACGGAACAGCAGGATGCTCATGTTATTTTATAAGCGCGTCGACGGCGGGATGCTGCGAGTGCGTCTCCTCTGCAAGGTCCGAAACTTTTCTCCCATTACGCGCAGCCGAGGGGAGATAAGATGCGCCACCTGGATTAGATCCCCCCCTTTCACAATTAATTACACTCCAGAATTCATCCAAGGTTTGTATTTCTATCGGCGGTATTGTTGCTCATCAGCAGACGTGACACAACGTCAAAATCGGCCGTCATATTTGTTTACCCAGATTTGTGTTGGGTATTCAGCCCGGCGCGCGCTTTGTTCCGCTCCTCTCCCTCAAACGGAATCTCTCCCCAGCACTAAAACCGCGTCCACTTGACCTTTTTTTCTCCTATCGCAGTTCACATAAAATACATCCCAGACGGAAGAGCGCGCTCCTTTCCGGTATTTTCAGTCCAAACTTAACGCACAATAACAACTGCGAGACGGGAGCATCCTCCTCGAGCTCTTACAGCATCTCAACTTGGTGATCCCTCCGCTGTCACTGGCTCCAAATCCAAACGAGTGACTCCAGTCGCGGTGCGCCTTTCACTTTCTGCGCGTCACGTTGACCAGCGGCGCAAACCGGGGGAGCCGCGGATGATCACAGCTTTTAATCCGAACATGCTCCCGTGCAAAAACCCTCCACCTATGCCGACAACAACACTCACACCGGCACCCTGATTCGGTCTAAGTAGCCCCCACCCCCTCTCCTTCTCCCTCTCTCCATCTCGCGCTTGCTTTTTTTTTTTTTCCTGCGCGGGCGGGGCCTGTAGCCGTGGCGCGCCGTGCTGTGCCGTGCCGTGCTCCCTCTGGGGACGCGGGGCTGGCTCACTGCGTCCCAGGTGATGCACAACAGAGGATGTATAAAAAGAAAGCCTCAAGTCAAATAAGCACATTTTCGATTGGAGAAAGGTAACTGACCATTTTCGTGTGACGCGAATCAGGATTTTAGAATTAGTGGGATAGATTTCCCAGAGAAACACTGGGAATTGCGGCTTAAAGATGGTCTTTGTCTGTGAATGTTTACTTGTTAGGCTTGTTATTAATCACCCCTACAGCCATCTGTTTGACTGAAGGCAATGTAACATGTAAAGCGCCCATAAAAAAGTTCTCCCTCTGTTTGAAAGCTGCGTCCTGATGGATGAGCTCAGAGAGGGAGAGAAACAGGGCGTCTGATGGATCGCTGGAACAGTGGAGTCATTTTCCATCAGTGTCCATTAGGCCCAAAGGGCAAGCGAAGGCAGCACCGAGTCTAAAACCTGTGAGCCATAAACCTCCAGATAGCTCTGTCTGACGGAGCGCTGCCACCCCTGCTGCCTCTGTCCTGCGTGTGTGTGTGTGTGTGTGTGTGTACGCGCCAGACACCTCTGCAAAAACATATCCATCTTGGCATTTAGTCTAGAGGTATAGTAACTACATTGTTTCCACAAGGTGATCCATGGTGTTTCCCAACATGCGTCGATAGCCCGAGGAGAATGAGCTCCAGTGGAGGATCAATCAACTCGCAACAAACAAGATTGGGAATTGATTCAAGATAAATTATTTGCAACAAGTTCATTTTTATTCCTTAAAGAGGGGAGCGCAACATTGTTAGGTATAATTGAGAGAAACACAATTTGTAGACTCAGATTTTCTGCGGCATACAAACTCTTTCAAGGTTCCTTTCAAAAGACAGTTTTCCAAAATCAAACTGACTGACTTTGTCCCACCGGTCACAAGCCTAACAGTGGCTGTGTTATAATTTTAAAACTGAACCTTTCCGCAGCTCCATCTTTCACATCTTATTGTGCCTCTCGGTTGGATCCTTTATGCAAAGTGTCCTAGTTTTGCTTTGCCCTGCTCTGCCTGCAGAGTAATGCCTATAATTTGGGCTGCATGAATTCAGGCAAGGGAGAGAACCCATGCACCCCCCCCCCATAACCCAAATACAGCTGCATGTTGTCCGCCTCTGTGGATGAATTATTCAACATCTGTCTGAGGCGTGCATATGTAAACAGGTGGGTAGTCTCCGGATGGCTTTTTTAAGGGGAGCCACTATAGACCAAAAAGACATCCTTCACCTCAGCTTCAGACTGTTCCTCCTCTGCTGTGTCACTCTGAAAGGGAGTCTAAATCTCATGTAAGCTGTGCAGACTACACAGTTATTGGGTGGGTTCAGAGACGGAGGCTTCCTAAGTGGTCCTAAATCTAAATGAATGGGGGTCAGAGAGTCAGCGTGTGGACTCATGCCTCCTTAAAAGGGCGTTGAATCCTGGGGAATTTATAGCTGGTTAAGTCTGTGATTGCTTTGTAGTTTAACTCCACTCAGGAGACATCAATTATAGACATATGACTTATCTCCCAGCTCCAGATCTTAAAACATAAAACAGATGAATGTATGTCTCCTCGAGCTGTTGACTAACAAAGCAGCCATTCTGTCCAGTCTCACACTTTAGACATAGTGTTCTGGCTTTTGTGGGGATTTAACTCGTCACAAGTTATATACACGACTGTTTCTTGAACCTCTTGAACCACTTGGCCACCCCCAACCTCACCAGTCAGGTTTGCATTTGTGTGTGGCCTCAGTGTTTGCCAGTATTTGCTTGATTAGAGGCCGCAGTACTAATGTAAATAAATGTTGCCAGATGTGGAAGGATCGCTACGCCACGTGGTTTCATTTAGTCCCGAGCACACAGGGGCTGGATGAAGCAAGATCATACCCAGGGGTCTGGGTCTGGCAAACAATTGGGAGAGGTGGGTTACAGGAAAGTGCACGACACACTGAACTGGTTAAAAGTACAAATGGAGTGACATTTTGGATGTTGCAACAGAGCTCATAGCACATAAAGTATAGCTTCTTTCGAATAATGTCAAATAACTTTTGGATTAGAGCAGTTTTTTGAAAATAAATGTTTGCTGTACAGACAGGGCTTGCCAGATTCTTTTTATTTATTTCTCAACAGATTAAAAGTATATGAAGTAACATTTTATGTGCCAGTGACTTCTGGAATTTGATAACCCAAAAACATCACAAATCTATGTTTGGATCGTCTTACTTTGAGTTATCCTTCCACCCAATTATGCAATCTCTTTGCATTTCAATATATTCCAAAGAGGATTCTGTGTAGACTGCTCCCTGCTCTAAATTACTCTTGGTGCAGAGTGAAATACTAAGATGCTGCAAGTAAACAAGGGTCTGAGGTATCAAAGCAGCATCAAAGCGTCAAGTTGCTGCCATGGAGTTTCATGACTAGTAGGGATATACTGAAAATGTTTTTTTTAAAAAAGCTACATGAATATATCTTGGCAAAGGTGACTATTCTAATACCTTACGGGTAACATTCAAATAAATGATCTGCTTGTGAGTGTAGCCTTCTTTAAGCATCTTATAAGATGCTGTTTCTATTTCTGCCATGTTGCCCAGCAAGTATGAGACTGTTATCTGTCTTTACTATGACCTTCAAGCATGCTTTCTTATGCAAAGTAGTAACAGAAGAAAAACAAGTGCATTAGCTGTGGAATTCGCTATAAGTTGGAGCTCACTATATTGAAGAACACACTCCACAAACTGCTGGGATTATAGAACAGAAATCCAGCTCCTCTCAGCCACAAATACAGACACCCCTGGACTCAATTCTCTTTTTCTCTCATTTGTCCCTCTCTCAAAAGGCAGGGAAGATCTGAGGTTAATCCTCTCTACTGCTCTGTAAGGAAGTCGAAGGGGAAAAAAAGAAGGTATAATGCCAGAAAGCCCAAGGAGGCACTTGAGATTAAGCCACTAACTATTGACATTGTGTGAGTGGCAGGTAAAGTCACCTCTGCTCAACATCCTTCGATTGCCAGCAGAGAGCAAGACCTCCCCCTAGTGGTTCAGGAGGTGTATAACCAGTTTGTCATTGAGGGTTTTTCTCCCACATCCCTGAGGAACTCTACGATAAACATGGATGCCAGATACTACCGATAGCTATGCTTGTGTTTTATCTTAATTATTCATCTTATGAGATACAGAGACTTGGTTTCCACAGCAACCTGGCTCATCTCCTCAGTCAGACCTGCTAAACTGAAAAGGTCAAAAGCAGAGCACAGGAGGATGGAGGATTATTCAGAATCATTGAGAACAGCAAGTATCCAGCGTTGCATATCAAATTAACTCCTCCACCCTGCCATCATCATCGCAGCCGTTCCATCGAGGGATTGTGCTGGGATTGTGCTGAGCCCAGATGAGAAGTCAGTCAAGTTTCAGATGGGATGAGTACAAAGTTGGAAATATAGTAAAAAGATTTAAAAAATAAATAAAAACCCCACCAGTAGTAAACAAGATGGGAAATGTGGAAAATGTTACGAGATGTTAACCGTTAGAGCAGCAGTACCACAGGACAGAGGGGAAGAGACAGAAACCAAATGAGGCCAGATGAAAGAAGGAACAAACTAAAGATTTATTGAAGGCAGCAGAAGATGCAAGAGACAAGAACAGGATGGCAGGGGAGGGGGGGAGCGGGGCACATACAGAGACACTTCTGTGTTCAGATAGGTTTAATGTCTTTGTGTTACAAAAGTTTTTTTTGTTTTTACAGCTCCAGAGAGCTTAATAGGTCTGTATTGTTTTATCAAAATATACATGTTTTGAACGTAAAGTGGATATAATCCAAATGATTTTGTGGTACAAAAACATGAATATATACAACCATCAATCCCGCTTCATACAATAACCCCACCCCGCCCCCATATAAAAAAGGAGAGAAAAATAAAAGCTTTTAACAAAAATTTAAAGGCATATAATCTTCTACACTGTCAACATCACAGCTAAGACTGTGGTTCAATTAAGTATCCATTCTAAAGCAATCTCTACCAAAGTAGGCTCTTTGTAAAGTCAATGAAACAAAAAAAAGGGATACAATATACAGTATAGGTTGAAACCCAAAAGATATTTCAACTTCATGTGAATTTTGTCCAAAGCATTTGAGAAACAGGAAAATTGAGGAAATTGAAGCCTTGTGTACTTGTGGGATTGCAGGAATGTGAAAAAACCTTTTAGGAAATCACAACACTACAAAACAGCGGGGGGTAGAAGATACTTTGGTCCTTAACAGCAATAACCGTCTGCAGCTACATGAAGCTTTGTTAAACCATGCATAATAATCTTTTACAAAAATAGAGACAGAGCGCATCTGTATCTGGTCCAAAACTACAGTGGTCGAGGCTGTGGAAACTGGTGCTTTGAGGCACGCAGGAATGTGACGACGTTTAAGACTTCAGCGTGATGGTGCCAACTTGGACCTATCATCAAGGAAAAGTGCACTAAGGAACCTGACTGTGGTGTAAGTGGACACAGACAAGAAATGGGTGAGGGCTATCCCACCCTGTAATCCTGGTGTCCTGAATTTAAGAAAAAAAAATTATTCTGGGTTTTTAGACACAGTCCAAGACTGTTGTTACTTTGAATTGACTAATGCCTCCAAGCTGCCCTCTCACAGGTAGGATTACCTGAATTGGATTGGATAAAGGCATCTTTGCAGACAGGTAAGATAAAACACCTGAACGAGAGGTAAACAAAGTCAACTGACCAGGCAAGCCTCGGATTAAAAACTCAAGGAGTCAAGGCACTGTGATTATGATTAAACCCAGCCACTACGTATAGGTATCAATTAAGCTTAGAAGTGATACACATGTAAATGCTAACATTAAAAGAAAAGATAAATGAATATATGTGTCCACATATAGATGAACATAATATGGTTAAATGAGGCCCCAAACGCCAATGTCCCTACTGAGAAAAGGACTAAATGGAGGTGAATGGGGACTGTAAGACAGGAAGGCTGGATACAGCTCTACTCCTGCCACAACACACCTAACAGAGCTAAACCACCTAGCAAAAATATTAGGCATCTAACTGACTTACATTCATAGTTTCTACATACATATAATGGGGATATATGCATACAAATCCTTAGATAAACCTTTGTTTTCTTAAGCGGAAACAGAAGACGGAGCCATTTTCACCCATTCCAACAATGCTGGTACATACCAAAAAGCAAGAAAAAAGGCATTCGGAGAGACATTTTTTTCCAAAAAAGCCAGAGCAATTCTTTAGGCAATCTGGTAGGGGCAAAGTAAGGCACAAGGATGTAAATAGAGATTATTGAAAGAAAAAAAAAAGTGTACTTATTGAATAACTTCAGATAGTGGTATTGATCCCCTGAAGCAAATAGGTGGGTAGTTACAAGATGAAAAAACAAAACTGGATACTAGGGAAATAAATTGCTTGGTGTTCTGTGAGCCAAAACAAAATCCTTTGTCTCAAACCGTTTCTGACTGGCCAAACAGGTTCAAAGTGGCATTTCAAAAAGGCACACACACACACACACACACATATCCACACGACTATCATAGTAAAAGGAATGCTGAAGTGTGTCTGGTGTGGATACGATTCGTCCACATAAGCATACATCCATTGTGGAGGGTGTCTTTTTTTTTAGCGATTTGGTCTAAAGTGACAGTTCATAAGCTGCCCCTACTTTACCTCCAAATTAACATGTTTCATTGCAGAAAGTTGCCCATTCCCCAGGACCCCAGTAAAAACTTGATGAACTATGATAGAACAAATTAATTATTAGGTTTGGGTACCAAGAACATGTCCTGAACTGGAACCAGTTCCAATTTTATCAAGACCAGGGATTTGTTTAGAAACACTCTTATGATTCCACTTACTGACTCCTGGGTGAAGTTTGGACCTACTGGTTTACAGTGCCAGTTACACTTGGTACAAGAATGTAGGGTTTTTGGGGTCCCCGGTCAAATTCATAATGCCCCCGAATCAGTTCATGTTAGCAGGTCTAGCTCAAATACAAACAAGTATTAAACTACAAACAATTTGTGCATAAAATGGAGATATTCATATTTGTCTTTATTTAGTGTCTTGTGATGTGACACAACTTGGAACCAGAATCTATAAACAGTCAATTAAATCCTATACCCAAACCTATTAATAATGGGGAATCATTAGGACTGGGGGTGAAAGGAGCAACGTTCTACAAAGAACCACAGCCATAAATATGTAATGGTGGCCATTTCCACTGAATGCAACCTTCACAAAAGTAGCATTCAGATGGCAATAGACATGGAGGGAGGAAGAAAAGGCACTCAGATGGTGGACTTTGAGAAGGACACTCGAAGGTGGTGATTCTCTCCCAGATCGTGGTTGTGGAACTCGATGAGGGACTCAATTGCCTCCTCGACTGAACCCATCTGGATCAGGGCCATCTTGCGGTCCTTTCTGTTAAATAAAGAGAACGCGTCAATATGCAGCCCATTTTTGCCTGCCATTTGGCATGTTGTAATAAGACGACTAAGTAAGGTGTCTCGTAGAGACAGAAAAAAAGAAATTGCTGTCCACGTTATTCTTTGCCATGTCTTGTGTACAAGTGTCCCAGCTTCTGCACACTGCATAGACCACTGACAGGCTAATACACAACTTCCCAAGTAACAGCCAAGGGACATTATTGAACACTTACTAATTAGTATTAAAATAACAAAACAATTCCTAGTGTAATTTTGTTTATTTTCATTGTGAATTATAAATTGGTCTGGGCCACCTGGCATCTAGCTGGCAGGCATTAAGTTCAGGATCGCTGCTCTAGACAATGAAACACTTCCGAACACCATTCAACTCCAGAATTGTTACAAAGACAAGAATTCAACCACCACTAAGGACATAATTTTCAGTGTGACAGGACTGAAACTTACTGAAAGAACTTGAAAGCCTTGACTGTGGCTCCTGAGCTGGCAAAAAGCCTCCTGAGGTCATCCTCCACCACAGAAGGCCTGAAAGCAAAAAGAGGAAAACAAAGAATAAATACTGAGTATTTTTGTGGGTTTACATTTTATTTACTTTATTTGCACTTATTTACTGGTACGGAGAAACAAGACACGAGAGGCATCATTAAATCTAAAAATGCACCTCTAGAGTAGGATGTTTAGAAAATATTGTCACAACTACTAAGTCCCAAACACTAAATATAGAAAAAACTAAGTCAAGACTACAAAGGAAAAAGCTTAGAGCACAAAAGCTGCTGGGGAGAGCAGGAATGAAAATGAGGCCTTTGCAACACTCACGGTATGTTGGAGAGGTGGAGCGTTGCAGAGGGTGGGAAGATGTTGGAGTAATTTTTGGAGCCAGGCTTCTTGAAACGGTGCAGCGGTGAGTTGCTGTAGTCTTTCGTGAGGCCCTGGTCCTCGTGGCCTTCTCTGGGCAGCTGCACTGTGGTGTGTTTTGAAAATGCCACACGCATGTCCCTGCCATGAAGACGCTGGCCATTCAGGTGGCTCATAGCTGGGAAACATTAATAAAGAGTCAACACTTGTTTTTAAGAACACCACATAAACCTGGCTTCCACATGTAACTCTAAGACTGACTTATGACACATTTTTTCTTTGTTGCAAGCACAGGTGTACTGTTCAATTTTAACTGGACATTTAAATAGTTGGGCTTTAACAGAAAATTTGAAATTCAATTAGTTTAACAAAAAGGTCCACTGAGGCTATTTTAATACATTTTAAAATCAATTCCATCTTTATCCTCCTGACACATGCATTCACCACATTTCTGAAAATATTTTCTGGATACATCTAGTGCATAGATCAAATGTTAACGTAATCGTAATCAAAAGTAAATAATCTGAAACCAGGCAATCAGTCAAGCCCTGTTCTGTTTGCTTAGTTGGCTTAGAGGCCCACTAGGTAAAAGGCTCAAAACACTGTACGGTAAAATGATGTGAGACAAAAACAAGATGAAAGAAAATGATAGATCAAAGAAAGCAAATAGTGTTTTGCAGAGCTGGAGTGTACCTACCTAGCTGAGCCTGTGTGCCATCAGACATCTGGATCAGAGCATTCTCCTTTTTATTGAATAGGATCTTCACTCTCATCACATCGCCATACACACCTAAGGAGGAAGAAGATGGTGTCACAATACAAGTGCAATGAAGTACCCCACAGCCTTAACAGGAGCAACACAGCCAATCACAGCAACAAAAACACATTAAAACCATCAAATCAGGGGCATGAATATTCATGTTACTAAATGAACACCAGATGATTAATAAGTAATTGTCAGGCTATTCTAGTAAATTATTGTTCAGTTCTGCATCTCTAAAACTAATCCTACTTTAGCCCTCTTAGATAACAATTACACAGATGCCAAGAGCTAAAATTGGTTATGCTTAAAAAGAGGGGGAAGGGAGTGATTTGAAGGCAAAAATCAAAAGGGGAGTAAAATGAGTGGTTCTGATCTGTTTGATCGATCTACAGTAAAGAAAAAGTTGAATTTCTTGACCAACTTGAGGGCTTAATAGAGAGACATGCAGGAATAAACTAAACATGCACATACCCACATTAGAGTACTGAGACAAACTGCAAAGGCATAATATGGTGACATAATCTGAGGGATATGTCAACTCACAATCACTAAAAAAAAAAGCAGCAGCATTTCATTTTCTATGTACTGTTGCTGAGTGACTCAAGGCAACCACAAAAAAAAAAAAAAATTCAACATAGCAAAAATTAAATTTTATGAATTTTCATGGCTTAAAATTGGACCGTGCGGAACCAAATAAAGTGTTGACTTTTATCCTTTTCCTGAGGGCAATGCTTTAGAATTTAGATCGGCTTCCCGCCTCATTCCCAAACAAAATGATCCCTGCATTTCTATTTAGAGGGGCAGTATTTCCATTGAGGAGCTGTGCTCTTTGAAGATAAAAAAACTGCAAATGTTTTTTGCCCACGGATAGCAACCACTGCTATTACAAATTAAATGAAATGCTGCAGCTTTGTGTGGTGTTCTCACCTTACTTTCCTCACACAAACCCACAACAACCAAAACAGGTCATACAAAACCCAAAACAACCGACACCCCCACCCTTCATAGCCCTGTAGCCTGATGACGAGCCATCAGTGGTTAAAAAAACAAAGCCAACAACATGAGACAAGACATGCCCACCTTGCGAGGTAACAGTAGTAATAAAAAAAGGAGATGAAAGGATGATAACGTACCGAAAAGAATAAAGAGGCAGTGTGGCGTAACGCTCTTTAGAGACAGCAGGGGGAGCAGCGGGGCAGGGGGCCAAAGGGGGATAGGGAACAGGGGACAGGGGAAAAGAGACGGAGCGGAGTGGAGGACAGTGGAGTGGAGTCGGGACATGTCCGCAGGCCACAGGCAGCGAGGTCCACAGGAAGGCCACAGTACCATGGAGGAAGGAGAGGCATGAGGGATGAAGAGAATGAAGAGAGGACAAGAGGAGGAGAGGATTCAAACAGCATGAGAGAGGAGAAGAGAACAGACGAAGATGAGGTGGAGGAAAGAAAGAAGATAGTGGAAGGACAGATGATCAGGGAGAGGTGCCAATGTTGTGTTTATGTTGTGTTTTCAAATTTGTGGGTGATGTCCAAATTGGGGACATGGAATTGGGGAGAAAGAGAGTTGGGTGGGTTGGAAGGAGGAGTGAATGTAGTAGTAACAGAGGAGTGGCAGAGGGGAGAGGAGGACAGAAGGAACAATTGGTCGTGGGGCGTGCAGTCAGTTGGCAAGAGTTGAGGTCAAGGGGTTTTAAAACAAAAAAGAGGGAGGGGGACAGAGAAAGAGGAGAGAGAAAAAGGAAGTAAAAAACAAGGTCAGTATACACAAAGAAATGTAGTGCTTCAGACAGTAGAACTGGCTAAATTAAAATGCACTGTCACTATGGGAACACTAGGAGAAAAAGAAGAGAAAAAAAGATTAACAATGAAATACAGAAAAAGGCAGAGACAATATGTACTTTTAAAATTACATACTATGTTTTAGATTATTTAAAATTACAATATAATAAAACAGTCAAATGTGAATATCAATTTTTATAATCCTGTTCCAACTTAAAAGCTGATCTTAAAATTAACATGCTTTAAGCACATAACTACATAACTACACTAAATGTAATGAATGTGACAGACTACTTATACATTCTAAAAAAAAAAAAACCTTGGATCACAGACATGTGTTTCTTTAAAAAATACAAATAAAAAAGTAATATTGTCTCTCCAACAACTCAAGAATGATTTCAACTAATGGACAAAAATGAAGATATGAAATGGTAAGTTTTTAAAAAAAGAAGTTAGTGTTTTGAATAAACTTAAAATTCACAGTGAGCAAAGTGGCAGGTCAGAAATGCAGCAGGTTTGGTCAAACACAGAGAGGTCCTGAAAGAGAAGAGGTTTTGACTCGATGACCCCCTTTTAATTAAAAACACTGGTAAGGGTACTCCAACTAATCTGATCACATGGAAGTGATGGGAAATGGGGGACAAAACACTGGAGCTCTTGAATAAATGGTCCAGGTCCACGAACCATTGTGTAAAACAAATGGCACTGTAACACTGTAACTTTTTTAGCACTGCACTGATAGAGGCAGGTTGTAGAACTGTTTAAGCCTAGTGAGAGTACTGACCTCAGGGTTCAGATTGCTGACCAACAAGACATTGTGTCCTGCAGAGGGAGCGAGCCCTGACAGGCCCAGACGGCTAGCGGCTGCTGCTGCAGCCGCCATGCTACCATGGCTCACACCGAGGGATGCCAAGGCACTGGGCATACCAGGCACCGACAGACCTAAGAGGAACAAAATATTAATTGCTTTCAATTTTTCCCTCTCGTCATATACACAAGATCTGGTAAGAGGAATATAAAAACGGGGAAATACATGACTGTTAAAATCAAGGCCAATTAAATAATGTACGTAATACGCACATATTTCGAGGAATACAGATCTAATAATGGAATAGGGAATGTTTGTATACTGACCTGTCTGTTGGATGGCAAAGGTTGGGGGGAAGCCATGGGCTCCACCATAGGGAGAGGCTGAGATTAGGCCTGGTGCAGCTGGGACAAGAGGCAACAAACAAAACTAAGAACACAAACTCCATGAAATGTGTACTTGAAACAATGATTAAAGTAAGAAAAAAAAGCTAGGAAATTCTGGACTATGTAAGCTTGTTAACATTTATAGATGTGATCAGATCTTTAAGAAAACCCTCTTTGAATTATACCAATCTTACCAAATGCAGCAGCTGCCATGGTCTGGTGGTCAATGGAGGCCTGTGAATCCGCATTGGGGAGGTCTGGTCGGGTATAATCCCTGCTCTTGTCATTGTTGTACTTGACATTAAGGCTGGTGAGCTTGGAGAAACTGATTCTCAAGGTACAGCAGGCATTGTAGATGTTCTGTCCATCCAGAGACTGAGACAAATATTGGAGCATTAGGCTTATGACAATGCATGTGATGTGTTTTACACAGTTGGTTTTAAAACCAGTTTCATGTTTGATCAGTTGACTCAACACTGTACTGTAGCTGCAATGTTTTGCTTTAAATTGATTAATTTGTCGTGTGAATGTCATGCAATCACAATTCTACTGAAAAGGTGACAAAGCACCCAGTTACTCAATGGTTACAAGCTCAAAAGGAAACATCATGACAAAGAGCATTAGTTGTACCAGTCTTACCAGTTTGGCGTGCTGAGCTGTCATGCCATCGGCATACTGGATCAGAGCCTGGAACTGGTTGTTCTTTGTGAAAGTGATGATCTTCAGCACAGTGCCGAACTTAGAGAAAATCTGGAGAGGGGAGACCGAACGATTAAGGATGACATCATGACAACACACTTTCTCACACAAATTCTCATTGTAACTGTACTGGAACATTAACCAAGGGAACACATTTGCATATCTTTCTTTAACAAGAGTCCCACTATTACATGCATATTTATAACATAATGAGAACAAGAAAAAAAGAATAGGAAATGGCAACAACAATGAAATAGATATATTTATAGTTGTATAGGTGATTGGCTGTTATAGCAGTCAAACTATATTAGTTTGCATAAGTCAAAATTTATCTAATGGCACAGTACAGTTGTGTTCCACATCTAATTTTACACATTAAGTACAATAGAATAAGAACAGGTAGATAGGCTTTAGTAACTGATGGCAGTTGTTACAATTCATTATGTAATAGTGTCACTTTAAAGTCCACACCCAAAACGCAAGGTTTGTTTAAAGATTTAAAAAACAGGAAATCCTATGAAATACGATGTTCAAACAAAAATCTGTGAAACAATAAGGTAACTGTAGACTACAAAAACCGCCTCTACCTGATGTAGTACATCAAGGGTGACAGGGTAGAAGAGGTTTTCCACGATGACCCTGAGGACAGGGCTTTGGGCTGCTCCTCCAGCCATGCTACTTGCATCTGCAGAAATGGCCATGCTTCCCATCCCACCTCCATGCAGGGCATTGACTGCCTGCAGAGCTGCCTGTGCACGCTAAGGAAAAATAACAGAGGAACTTCTTAGCGTGGACACGGAAAGTATGCAGTAATAAATTAATCAGTGAATGTGGGTGAAAATTCCTTTTTCTAGAAGTGCTGTATCTTTTACATGAAAACCCGAGTGTGCGTGTATTTTGAGCACAAGCCTTACCACTTGGTTGGGGGAGTTGTCCGTCTTGAGCTCCTTATGGGTTGAGTACTGCATGTAAATGGGGTGGTTTCTGATGACAGGGGTGACAGAGGAGTAGTAGCTCACCATCGTCTGTGCACACTCCTCGCTGTTCAGTTCCAAGAATGCCTGCAAGGGAGGACCAACATATTCAATTTGTTTCCTCCATCACATGTAATACAAAGGTCCCACTCAAGACAATATTTAGCAAGAATTCTTTCCAATTATGAGCAATTTAATCGTGTACTTATATTCACTGCCTATCAACTGTTTGCTTATTTTTTTTTAGATTTTACACTTTCATTGGTTTTGACACAGAATTGCAGGTAACAGAAAACAGGAGATAATAAGACATTCAAGAGGATTGTCTTCCTCCAGGACATCTCAGCAAGTAGAATTTTTATCCTGCCTACTAAACCACGTGAATGTGACAAAAGGGGCCTTGTCATAATTTTCAGGTCAGGACACAAGGCTAGATAGCTGATCCCTTGTCCCAGGCCTGAAGAGAAATTTTTCCCAGGAATGCAAGACATACAGGTTTGATGAGCAGACCTGCATATGTCAGTCCTTACCTGGTTTTTCCCTTTCAGCATCAGCAGATTAGTGACCTTCCCAAAGGGCAGTCCCAGTCCAATAACCTCAGCCTCATTTATGTCATTTGGCAGCTTGCGTACATGGACCACACGTGACGGAACACCAGGACTGCGGACGTCACCTTTGAATTTTTTGGTGTCGTTGCCATTGGCTGCAAGAAAAAAAACAGAAGCAGATACAATCAGGGAGGGAACAGAAGGCTCTGGTTCTTCTTGAATAATGGATTGATTGTCATGGCAACGCAAACACAGACACGACAAGCACTTCAATAAAAAGGATTCAACCCTCCATGGCAACCCCCCTACCTGAGTTCATGATATAGGGCCCGTTGGATATGCAAGAAGAAAAGAGTTCGTCGGATCCCCTCTGCAGAAGGAGAGAAAACAATGGTTCACTTCAGTGCATTCACCAATGAGGGCACAGCATGGCAGGTGGAGAGCACAGCTCTCATTTTACAGAGCCATTGTGTGATAAAGCAGGAAGTAATCTGATAACCAAAAGAGGATTGAGCAAACATGCTTCAGTAGAACTCCACCTTCCTCACTAGGAAGATTTAGTGGCCTAGCTTGTCAGCAGGGATATTTGACTTGCCATTTTAACCATCCCTATCCATTCCATTTTATACTCTTCTTTAACAGCATTGCCTAGTTCATAACCTTAAAGTAACAGGCCATTATTTGACTTGAGGAAATATGCCAAATGATCATGTTTTACTGACAATCACACTCAAGGAGCAGTACAGCAAGTACACAAGTCAGCAGATGTCAGTACAAGTCATCTTCTCATAATTCAGTATTAGGGGGATGGATACCATGCTGAAGTCCTCTGAATCGGAAGACAACATGGGGATACTCCTAGCCCACACTAGTTTACTGTCTGCTGTAACAGCCTTGTCTGTCCTCTCGCTCTCTCTTTAGTAGTTATAAAGTGCTGTTTCAGGGCTGTGTGTGTGTTTGTGGTTGTGGGAGATGAAGTATAGCAGTCACAAGAAGTGGCTCAGCAGCCTAAGCTCTACAACACTCTACAATGAAGGTCCTGTTCAGGCTGAGACTAGGAGCATTGTTACACGGCGGCACACACACATATGGAGCCCCAAGGACACTCTGGGATTTGAAGAGCCCTGGAGCGCTTTAACAACAACCAGTCATGCAGGTTTGCTAGCATTCTTCTCCACCTTGTGAATCATGGCCTTTAAATATGCAAGGTGTTGGGGGTTTCCAGTCAGGCTACAATGTCTACTCATGAAAAGGCAGGAATGAGGTTATCCAAGAGAAAACATTTGGTGGGGCCTCTAAACATTCTGAAGGGGCGGTGCGGGTTACTGAGTTAGTTGCTCTGAGAGAACAACACTGTAAGCAGTAGTATAAACTAACCTTTGGCTTCCAGATGGCTTGGCTGAGTCGGTCACTCTCACTCTAAAGCCCACACAAACAGTGTCTGCTATCTCAATTCATGAACTTTAAAGCAACAAGAGACAGTCTAATGTCTTTGAGGTTTCACGATAAGGGGGACCCACTTTGGCCAATGTTCAAATCTCTATATAAATTATGCATACATGCAGGTACTCAGTTAAAATTAAGACTCACAATGGATTGCAAGACAACCTCTGACAAGACTCAAAATGATACATGGAGCTGGTTAGGCATGAGATGGATCTATTTTTTTTCTCTTTAAAAAAACAAAACAAAAAAAACAATGGGAGTGGCTAGTTGGATCCTGGTATTTGGAACGCATCTAATAATAATAATAAAAAAAAACATAACAGTGTAAAACAACAAGAGGCTTGCATTACGGATTATACTGCATGTGTGAGAGTGGTGTGCTCTGGCTGGTGGGAAGCAAAACAGTATTTTAGCTTGATAAATGTGCCAAGGGGAGATGCAAGCCATGAGAAATGAAGGAAGTGGCTCCAGCCTGACTCAATAGTTGTGGGCGGGCAGTGTCACATTATCAGTCAGCAGACCAACTCCAAACAGGAAGAGCAAAAAGATCAGGCCTGCTTCCAGGGCTTTGCTAAACTTCCTCCTAGGGACTGATGGTTACTGTTCCATGGCAGGACTTGCTTTCTCTCTCTTCCCCTACTTCCTCATTCTAATAATAACCACAGAGCTAAGACAGTCTACAGTCACAGCAGAAACATCGAGTCACATACACAGGAGTTCAATATTGCAATTGACTGAAGAAAAAAACTTTTGTGTTTGTAGGGAGTGTGGTAGAGAGTGCAGAGCAGCACAAAAGGAAACTTTTGGTTAAAAAGCCAATGGAAGAAAAACAGAGCGTTCTAATGGTTTGTTAGTGGACTCCGACACAGTGCCAAACCCATTTTTACAACACATGCCCACTAAATGTGTATTGACTTGTTCACATCCTTTGTTTGCTCAGGATGCTGACAGCATAATAGTAACCTTCAGGAGACGATGACACATAATTGGCCCGCATACTGAAACTGTTGAGCAGCTTTACTGACAATGGCCAACCTTGAACTCAATTTTAAAAAGTGAACATGGACTGGAGGCAATTTCCCTGCTTCATCACACCTGGTTTTCATTGCATCAAAGAAGGAAAAAGAACACATGGTATCTCCAACTTTAAAGCAGCATTGGGGGGGGAGAAACATTAAGATTTTATATGGAAGCTAAATCTGAGAAGATTTATTTGTTTTGGCATCTGCAAACAACCTTTTTTTGGACTTTGATGGCGGGTGGGGGTGGGGGTGTGTGATCTCTCAGGAAAAGCACAATGAAGAGCAGCACAGGTACGGACATGTTTGTTCACTGTGATCAGCCTTTGGCAGCGGAGGGGGCAGGGAGCTGTGCCTCACCAGGGGGCTAGAGGGGGGAGATTGGAATGTGACCGCGGAATGCCAGACACTCTGCCCAGACGGAATAATTACAGATTCCAGCAAGGCAGCGCTCCATAACTCAGCATCATCATTACCACAACGCATCAAATCCAGAAAACAGGAAAAGTTATAGAAGAAAGAATCCCACCGGGAGTCAAATCCTTGATACCGATAATCACCCATTAATTTCTGCATTGTTAACATGTTGAAAAGGCCTTACTAAAAAGAATGGAGGGGGTGGGGTGTGTCCCTGTTGCGGGTGTGTGTATCCGAGTTCTTGTTTAAACAGTGTTAAGACCTTTGCCCGGGGAGGATGATGATGACGACGACTGTTGCGGGAGAATGGTTACAGCCCTAAGTTCAATTACTCCCCCTACACATAGCTGCCCCAGGCCCTGTCACCAAGGATTACTACTTGAGCAGGCATTTTTATTGGGGACACAAGTTAAAACAGAGCAGTTTTCCAAACAACAAAAAAAGTGTTCCCACTTCAACAAGTTTGTACACACCATTTGCAAACAGTAGAGAAGAGCTACTGTTTTAGTTACATAAGCATAGGAAAGCTTCCTCATCACTGAAATTTAATCTTCAGAGCAGATTCATGCAAAAAGGTCATTAACATTGGACAATACTTTACTGGTTTGTTTGTTTGGTGCTGGCTGAGTAGTCTTGTGACAGAAATGAGACTGGATAAATATCAAGCACTGGAGCAGGATTCAGCTGCTTTCTTAACATTCCAGTGAGGCAGACTAGCTATTAAGGAACATGCTAAATAAACAACAGGAAGTTTCATTTCCCAATAGCCACACAACCCAACAGAAACAAGACAGGAAAACATAAAGCCCCACCTAAGATAATCTATTCTAATTGAATTATCAAATATTCCATGTCCAGAGTCTTGAGAGTTGCTGCAACCTCTATCTGCTGGCCATTCGGTTGTATATCATAAATCTTTTAAAAGGAGAGCCGGTCTGCAACTGCAAACTCATTACACATGAGAAATGGCTTTGGACAGCAGTTCTGTAATTATAGAGGAAGCTCTTGCAAACTGACAGACTATGTTATTCAAGTCCCAAATGACGGCACGGTTCTTTTCCATTTCCACTCCGACTTGTAAAAAAAAAAATGTTTCTCAAACCTCTGTTTCCTAAAAATTAATTTAGCTGCAGTGGGACACAGAAAAATTCCTGCCGCAGTTAGAAAAAATTAAATACAACAAAGACTCATTATCTAATATCAAAGCTACTTTGATAACAAAGAACAAACAAACAAGTGAATGCTAATTACAACACAAATTTCTATGTTTAATAAGGCTATACATGCCAAAAGATGAGCCATTTTTAAAACTACAACACCTACTGGACCTTTAAACTGACAAAACATCCAATGAGTCTCACAATCATCACCTCTAACAAATGTACAATTACAGTAAGTCAAGAGTTTCACAAAAACCACACATTTTACTCCTGGTTTTCATGCTGCAGTCTAGACAGGTTAAGTGAAAGGAGACAGGGCTGCAAAGAGAATATGATTTTAAAAATTGCCTACCTTTGTGCCAACTGATATGTCATGGACACTGCTGTGAAAGAGAAAGAAAGATCACAATTACACAGGAAATCAAAGAAGATTAAGCATAATCTATCACGAGATCCTGTTAACAAGTCATCACAACAGCCCATTCTGCTCTGGAAGAACACAGCCCTTATGAAATGAAGGATATAGTGCTGTGCAACCAAACGCAAAAAAAAGGACTTCCTCATTCAGAGACGAGCACATTTACGAGTATTAAAATTCAGGAAAGCACCGAACAGTTCGACCTACGGGTCAAAATTTTTTACAAAAATACTTACTCAATTTCAGGGACGTAGCCGGCTCCCAGAGGGTACAAGTCAGCGTCTAGGCGGCTGTAGTGGGTTGGCAAAACATAAAGGCAAAATTCAGAGTAGACACTCAGAAGTGGTAATGAAACCAATCCACATTTACAATTTTAGTAAAACGCAACATCCCCCGCTGCATTTGAAAGTGCTGCAAACTGTCGAATTCAGGTGATCAAACGACGTTAACGTTAGGATACGCTTGATTGAAACAACACGCTATTGTGTATCCTACCCTGTTTAGATAACCCAGTATAGAAGTCCCCCCCCTCCCCCGGTTGAATCAACGTGAAATGTTCAGGCCAGACATCTTCAACATGGCCCTGGCACTCAGCAGACAAATGAATGCGGAAATGAGACACGTTGCCTTAGCTAGCGCTGAAGTTAACGTTACCAAAAAGGTGCAGTTAGCCAACGTTAACTAATGTCTTCGTTAGCGAACGAAGGGAGATTTTGCCAGTATTTTAATAATAAAAATAAACAAGTCTGTTCCAATCTCAACTCTTTATTAAGTTACGTTTGCTTAGCGTTAGTCCCGTTAACGGAAAAACGATTAATTAAGTCCGTTCAAACGACCAACGTTTGTTAGCAGTAGCGACGGCTAGCAGCCGTTGGTTAAGCTAACGCTCCGGCTAACTGTTGCATGTTTTGATGGAAAAAAAAAAAAAAAAAAAAAGTTTCAAAACTTTCCCGGTCAAACGGTGAAGTGAAACAGCCCTCGGAATCAAATCAGTTTAATAAGCAACCGAACTATGAAAAGAAACTACTCGGTGGTCGGTTTTCCCGAATAAAATTAAGTCTTAAGTGTCGTTGTTTTTCACTTACCCGTCCATTGCACAAGAAAAAAACTGCAGGTCTGAAGCGAAGGTAGGGCGGCAGACTTGCTTGATTTTCTTACAAAATGGCTGAACACACGGAGGCGAGCGCTGATTAGTCCAGGCACTTTCAAGAGCCAAAAACAGGCGGGGACAAGCTTCTACTTGACTCGCGATTGGACAAGACGACTATCATTTTGTGAAAAAAAGAAGGGCCGCGGCAAATTTCCAGTACATCACACACACATCAAGTGGGTTATGTTTGATTGAGTTGTTGTGCGATGAAAGGTGTATATTTTTCCTAAAGGGAGGACAAAGGGAGGAAAGTAGGGACCCGCAGTTAAATAAACGGGCTCTCATAATATCTTATAAAACCTGTGTTGTGCCCTTTTTTTTTTTTTTTTAAAAGAGCAGTGTTAGAAGCTGCATTGAGCTCCTTTACTTTGAATAAAAATAGTAATACTACAGTTTAAAATACTCTATTACAAGTAAAAGTCCCACTCTCAAAATCTTAGTGTATCAGTTTAATGTAGGTCTACTAATGCAGAAACATTTGAGTGCCATACTGTATTTTATGCCATTTTTTCATGGCAGTTTTGTGATATGCGATAATATGTAAATAGCATTTGTATCTACATGGACGCGATGGAACCAGTACTACTTTATATAGCCTACTATTGGGTAGATTTATCTACAATAGATCATATCTCAATAAGATCCTCATGTTTTTTGTATGTAAAATCTTACTCTGTATAACTAGCACATTTAGTAGTCAAATAAATCATCAAGCAAGACTACTTAACATGTGTATGTATGTACAGTAAATGAGTGAGTGAGTGAGTAAATGTAGCCTACTTAGTTTAATTGATTTCACCGCTATATGAGAAAATTCACAAAGGATTTGGAGAGTTAATAATGTGAGTATATGAGTTAACCTTCATCCCACACTGGTCATCAAGGGTTATAAGAATCTAGTTTTAGCTGTCTTTTGTGGAGAGGGAATTCTAGTCCCACCTACACAGAATCATAGATACTCATCATGACCAACACTTTGTGTATATTCAAATGCACAGATGGGATTGAAGTATTTGGATTCAGGGCACAGTTTTATGTGCTGTAGTTGTCAACCCCCCCCCCCCCAGTACTGTGGTGTAAACAGTACTGGTTTTGGTTGGGTGCAACACAATGGAGGTGATAATTGCCCTGATACTGAGGTCTCTTTGCACAATAAGTACTGAGTCAGGAAGAGATCCTCTAGATAACAGGCCTTCTCTGCAAAAGGTTCTGGAGTGAAAACAAAAGGAGGACACATCTATATAAATATAAGGCAGTGAAGGGTCCAATTACACACTACTTACAGTAGGTAAGCACCAAACAGAGGTATGCGCACACTGTAATCAACCAGAATGGGTTGAACATGCATTATTAAAAATTTATGAACTGCTATCACCGCTGAAGGAAGCAAAACATGACAACCCCCCCCCCCCATGGCAGGCATTGTGAACAGTCATAAAGAAAGAGGTCTAGCACAAAGCTGTTTTTCTCCTAATTTATTTAACTTCCTATTGCTTCACAATCAACACAAAGGCAGCAGCACATACTGGCTTGCTAATTTATATGAAGATGAAGAAAGGAAGACCTTCGTATAAAGAACAATTCTTTAGTTCATACAGTCTAGGGCTTGTGGTTTGTATTATTGTTTTGGGAATTGAATTGAGCTGAATGATACTGTGTCTTAAAATATAAAGTTGATGAGTAACAGAAACCCAGATAAAGTGGTGGCTAGTTGTCACATGTGTGAAAAAGATGTGTGAGTGTACAATAATTTGTTCCTGGAAAATATGAGCCATGCACAGCAGCTGTTGCAGAAACAATGTTGCATGACCAAGGACTACATGTTGATTTTAACTGTTTCCCACAAGCATTCAGGAAAAAACAAGTTATTTTGGGGTGAATGAGGTTGTATTTTAAAGGATGAGGAGTTATATTGTTTCATTACATTATGTTTGTGTGTTCATCCTAATCTGTGTCTCACACTGGGGTAGTTGACGCTCGCATTTAACAAACTAATGACAGTGGAAAGGTAATTACTGGAGCCTTTGCAATTACTGGAAAGCTAAGCAATTAGATTTAGCATTGCCCTCACAGGGCTGATTGGGATGATTTCTGTGTTGGGACTTCTCACGCCAGAAATGGAATTCTCTCTTTTTACCTTTCAGATCCGTTTTAAAGTAAAACTTCCATTCCTTTTTTTATTTTATTTCCAATGACTTTTTATATTCCACTGGTCAAATCCCAAACAGTTGTGTTTTGCTTCCGTGTCTGTGTGTACGTGTGTGTGAGAGAGAAAGAGAGTGTGGAAAAGCATTGTCATGGGTGTGACCTAAAAACATCACACAATACATTCATACATTCAGTGTCCCGTGATGTGGAACACTTCTGCCACTTCTATTAAATGGTAAAATCTGTCTCATCACAGGGAATATGTCTATGGCTGAGTGTGCCACATTCATACTGGGCTCAAGAGAAATTATTTACCGGAGGCAGAACTGCTGCAGCATAAAGCAATATAATTATAGCTGTTCTCTCAAATAGTGCATACCTGACCTCCATCTGATGAATGCCTTGTTTAAATGCCCCTCTTTGTCTCCCTAATTACCCCCACCCCCCTGTCTCTCTCTTTCACTTTACCTTGTATTTGACCATTTGGAAACAAACTTCCAAAACAGTAGACGTATGCTCTCTAGTGGTATGTTCTGGGTAGTGCACTTCAGTACCCCAGCCAATTCACATATATAGTTCGAGTGATGCTGAAATCACATTTATGCTCATTATGCAGTACTACTGGTGGAGCTCCTCTTTGTAAATGTTTTATGTTTCCACCCTGTCTTAAATATCTCTCCTCAAATCACACCTCTGACCTTACACTTCTACATTATTCAGTCTCCATAAACGAGGGGTAGTTCAATTGTGTATTATTTTGTCACTTTTAAAGTCCAATTGCAGTAGTCCTATAACAAATGGATGGTTAATCTGCATATAATTGTGTGTACTCTCCCCAGAAGGGTGTCCTGCGCCCATCTGTGACTCCATCAGCTAAGATGCCAAAACCACACACATCATTAGCCATGGCTTGTGTGTATGCTTCTATCTGCAGTATGTGTACATTTGGTTAATTACATACACACTTATCTGACTTGCCGTAAACAAACAGTAGTTTTATTCAAGATTAAACATTTAGACGACCACAGAATAGATGAACAGGCATTGGTTTAACACAAGGCTGCTTTTTCTGCTGCTGTCCCAGAGACCCACTTTTAAGCAAAGTTTTAGCTTAACAAATTTACATGTATTTCTATGTATACAGATGTATGTCTGTATGCCTATAGACATGCACACATACTGTATATACATGAATATACTGTACATAAATACATAGACTGTCAGTTAGTCTCCTGCATAAAGTTTGTATGCCAGCAAAATGTTAACCTGGGTGTGGTTTCTTGTATGTGTAGAGTTTTTTCAAGACATCAATAGTACTCTGCATATTACCTATTGTTTGAGCTGCATTTATTTATAATGTGGAAAATGGGTATTATATTCTATTATAGTAGTGTTGTGACCCTCTAGACTAGAAGGCAGTGTTTCCAGTGGGTCATCATGACCAGGAGCAGAGCAAGAAAAACCCTGGTCTAAAAAATGGCAGCAGACAGACAAGTCCAACCAACTGAACCTGACAAAGGCACCAACAATACACAGATGTAATCTCTTTTTTTTTTTTAAAAATACACACATCAAATACAATATACTGCCTTGCAAAGAGGCCATAGGAAAGAAAAACATGAGAGTCAATATAAGAAACAAAATTGCAAATTGTACAATTACAGTGGAACTGTACATATGGAAAGCATAGACTATATTTCATCTGTCCACGCCTGCTGACCTCCCTTTGGAATGTTAGAGGGGATCATTTCTCTGGTGGTAAATGTAGGCAGGACTTGAGAGAATGCATCTGGCACTGAAGGTTGCAAAAGTGTATGCAGGAGGCAGTAGATTCCCACAATCCCCCCTCACCAGTGATTTGAGTAAGACAGAGGGAACAGAAAAAAAAGAAAAGTTGGTGGATGGAGAGTGTTAGACGAGACTCAGGATTAGCACCAACTTGAGAGGTTTTTGAACTGCGTGTCTCCGAGCATAGAAGGTGGGGGTGTGTGTATTTGACGACGTGGATGAAAACAGTTTGACGATGAGATGATGGTGATGGTGTGTGGGTGAATCAGAGACATGGGTGAGCCTGGGGTGGGGGGTGGGGGGTTAGAAACATTGCTGGAGTTGGATCACCGACCAAGACCGTCAATGGCCTCTACTGAGCCAAAATTTATTTCAATAGGCTTTCAGGTCTTTGAATCGATATATTGTATATGCACGATTTGTCTCGCTAGCAACATGCAGTTTTAAAAGGGTTGACTGTTTTTTCTTCTAGAATATGGCCTATTTTTAAAAGCTTGGGTACCTGGGCACAGCTAAATACTCTACATTTTTGTCTTGCTGGAGAGATTTAAGGTCCCCAGAGAGTATCTTTATTTGTGAGAAAAGTCTATTCAGATGCCCTTCATCTTTGTCTTTTTCTGTAAATCTATTCAAGTACTATTGGGCCCCAGGTCTACGGACAAAAGTCAGGGATTAAACTGGGAGCGAGCAGGACAGAAACCAGCAGCCGACCAACACAGTGAAATTACAGTATCATCAGATTTTATTTGGTTCATAAAGAGACAAAAAGCGTTTTTTTTCCTTTACGGTGAGCTTAGCAAGCGCGCCTCTTCTCATCATTTTAGAGCGAATCCCAATTTAACCCCTGGATTTACATTCATGTGAACGTGATAGCGTATACTAAAGACCTAACAAGTGACAAGACAGTCAAAACAGTTGCAAGGCTTCATGCAGTGCTACCTCATAAGATTTACATTGATTCTACTGTTGTGAGAGCAAAATTAGTTAAGCATTTCTAATCGTTGTGCAATGGTCTGTCATGACTCTATTGATCATTAAGTAAGTGTATCCATCTTATTTAAAAAATACAAAAGCTGTGATCTTCATGTACATGTGTCACATATAGTATTTATGAGAAGCTGATGCGATTTGCAATATGTTCACTGTTCTAATTAGCCTCATTGTCTCCGTGCTGATTTCTTTTAAAATTTAATGCACATCTCTAACACTGCCAATTATTATGAACTGTTACTGATAGAAAGACAAAAAGATTTGAGCACATATGAGTCTAAGAAAGCACAGACACTTGTAATGATTGTAACGCAAATCTGGTAGTGCTTACAAGCTTACATGCAGTTAATGGTTGGAGATGATATAGAGAACCAAAAACAATAAATACATTGTATAAAACATAATTTCATATCAATATATTAAAATACTATTTAAAATAATATCTTAGACAATATTGCAATATGAAATTGACCGATAAATAGTTGGTAGGCCTACACAGAGAAATATATATATTTAAGTATCTGTGTCCTTCATAGCTTGCTGTTTTGACTTAAATGATTTAAAGTTTCCAGATTTTCCCGGTGGGTAGCAGTACAATCCAGAGAGCTAATACATTTTCTTTTTTCCCAACAATAATAACAATGAACTTACAGTACACAGTCCCATAATAAAGATATACATACTGAATACAATATAAATGTCAAGACAGAAAAATAGAAAAATATCAATAGAAATCAAAAGTCAAATACATATCAGAGAAAGTATACAGAGTAAAGTGTACTTATGAGTCTGTGGTTCTTGTTGTTGTAGCTGGAGCTTGTATTGGCTCTCATTGTTGGTATATTGGCTGTGTAGCTGTACTTCGGTTTTTTGTTTTTTTCCAGTCCTGACACATTCACACACACACACACACACACACACACACACACACACACACACACACACACACACACACACACACACACACACACACACACACTCTCTCTCTCCCACACAGACACAAAGTTACACACATCTGCAAATACAGACACATGCAATGGCACACATGCCTGCACAGGAGCAGGTGTGCACTCACCCACACACACCCAACACACACACTCTTCGACATACACATGCACACACAGCTCACATGACCGTGCAGCATTTGCAGGTCTGTTTCTTCTCCTTTTCCTTCTCCCCATCTTCGCCACCTCCATTGGCCTTTTCTTTCTCCGCCATGCTCCCGTTGGGTGGAGCCTGCTCTTCTGTGGCTGCCTCCCCTCCCACTTTGCCCTCCCCATCCTCGATCACAACAAACTCAGCCTTGACGTTGCCATCTACCCCTTCCATTCCCAAGGCCGTGCGGGTCTCCGGCTCCTCTTCGACGGTCTTGTAGCCCATGAACACAAGGGTAACAGGGTTGTCTGCGCTAGCTTGGTCAGGACTGGGACCCAGCAGCTTGGCCTCAATCCCTGTCACCTCTCTTTTGGGGGTCTGACCAGAGGTCTGCACTACTCCATTTTCACCTATAGGGAGCACCAGAGTATCATTGAGAGGTTAGGATAGTGCAAAAAAGAAAGAGGGTGGTCAGGGTATGTCAGAGACAAAGAAAGAAAGGAAATATTGTTTTAATTACCTCCGGAGGAGAGGAACAATTTAATAGCGCAAATGAAGAGAACATTATTAGCTCAGTTACTCTTTCTGACACAGGTGTTCAGGCTGTGTTGCCATGGTTTTCTGTGTGATCATACGTTGCCATGGGTACTGAACTTACCTCCATTTTCTTTGGCCACACCTTTATTGGCTGGCACGTCTGTCTCCAGTTCTTCAATCTCTTGCTCCAGCCTGACTCAGAAACACACATACATGCAAATGAATTAAAATTAAGCTGTAATTTCTTTACACCACATTGACTATAATATATATACTATATATGGAGGGAAACGTTGGGTATGTGACCAGTCCTACAAAAGAAGATTATCAGGATGTGCTCCTAGTTGACCATTTTGGCCACAATGCCCTTAAACCATCTGGCAATTCCATTTGTAATTAAGAATAATATTAAAATACTGACCTGTTGTACATATGCTTTCTACCCATGCTTGGACATGGCACTCAGACATATACAAACTGGAATGTGATTTCTTTATCAAGTTAAAATCACAAAATTGCAGTTATTTTTTGGTTTAATGTTTGATTGAAACTGCATTTCTTGAGATTTGCTTCAGTCTGGACGTGCAAATTGGATTACATTACCTGTAATGCATGATGTAACATCAAAAACATCTTCATCTCTGTTAGCTGACTGTGGCTGCATTTCAAATATTCATGTCTCCAATGTTGTCTTCTAGTGCAACATAATATGCCATATTCTATTATTAATTGTTATTAATTAAGTTGTGGCTTGAAGAATAAAAGGATACATCTTAACTTGTCCGGCAGCTTTCAGTTTCGCAAATCCACTGCCATAACCACACACATTTGACCTTACAAATAAAATGGTATTCTAGACTGTCTGTTTCAAAGATCGGACATGCAGGGTTTTTAGATGCTGACCTGAGGATGACCTGCTCCAGGAGTTTGGTCTTCACTTCATCCTCTTGCAGACGCTTCTGAGTCTCCTCCTCAGCTGGAGCTCCGTCTAACAACCAGCGCTCCCTCAGTGCCTTCGACTGCAAGAGGACATAACAAATATGGACATGTTAAAGAAGTTATACAATTTATTTCATGTTTCAGTGATACAGTGATAAAAAGAAGAACACATTTCACTAGAATTGCCCTTAACACCCCTGTGTGTTTGGTGTATGAGTGTGTATGTCAGCTATAATGAAAAGAGCATAAGCAGGTAGAGGACTTTTGATCATGCGTCTCTCATCAGGAGCAGTTGGTTAAATAATTAGCAGTAATTCAATCACCCAAAATGCTGCATGTTTTATCAGTGTAATTTCTTTCTGAGGAGATTAGTGGCACTTTCACTGAGGACGACAAGCCCTTTAGCTAATCTACAACAAAAATCCACCAGTGAGCGCGTCCAGCCGACTGCTGCCTTTCACTGATTCTGTCACATACTTAAACTGCTGCCAACTTGTTGCTGCCAAGTAGACTATGGCCCCCAGCCAGAGCATCAAGGCTTTTGCCATTGAACAGAAAAAAAATCCAAACTAAGATATAATTCTCCTATTATACTCAATTGAGCATGGGATTGGAACTCTAGATAATTCACGGAAAGATAAAAAACAAAATAGTTCTTATCTTAAACCGCATCAAACATTTCCTGGAGGTTGATAATGATTACAAGAATATCTTTCTGGACTGGAAGTTGAGAGCGCAGACTATGACTAAATTCCCTGATTGTAAACTGATAGTCTCATTGTAACTACTGCAGATAAAGTTAATTAAATGACAAGATAATTCAACTGTAATAAACAACAACACAGGAATATAAATGTATATGTTTTGTTCTGAGGTGGAATTTTCACTTTATAACTCAGCTTCCACTTCTTTCTCTTCTTTTCAATCTAGGTTTATTTCCCCTATCAATTACATAACAGCCCTGTATTTTGACTCCCCATCCACATTCTCTCCGGTAGATAAGCTAATATCAAAGCAAATACTTGGCATGCTTTGAGGTAAATATAACAGTGTGTCTTACTCACAGCTGTTAGATCATGCAGCGAAAGACAGCCCTGCTTGGCCGTATGGAAAAGTGCTGGAAAAAGCTCTTGTTTTCACGAGTTGGACTAAAAATCTGGACCTGCGCTTGATGTGAATTCCTCTCCAGTGATGCAACAAGAATTTCTACAGCAAAACTCCCCCCATTTTTCCCCCTTCTCTGACTCGACCACCACCCCTTCCTCCTTCTCGTATGCATCTATATCCATCATAAAGTTCATGAACTTTTTGGTTCCTGCATTGAATAAGCTTGTAAATGTCAGTCTGTATTCCCCTACATTGTTTGTTGTTATTGTTTATCTGTTTTTATCTGTTAAAGCGCCTGTTGTTCCATATATCTTTCACCCAGCGCCACAGAGCTGTACAGCACACACACTCACACGGTGTAATTCAACACTCTTCATACCCCAGCATGGTCTCTTGGGTACTGAATCTAACCCTTGCTTCCCTCTCTCTCTGCTCTCTCAATCTTGCCACACCCTACTACCCCAACGCCTGACATCACTTAATGTACTCACTCATGCGTACGCAAGCACGCACACACCCACACCAGTCTGCGCGAGTGGTCGTAAAGCTGGAGCGCTGAAGTTACGTCTCTCTCCATTGTTCTTTGGAGTAAAAGCTGCTAACGTAGCAGACAAAGGGCGGAATTGTGATACAGGCACACACATAGATACACACACACACACACACACACACACACACACACACACACACACACACACACACACACACACACACACACACACACACACATCCAAACGTACTGAGCAGCTGTTTGGAAAAGAGCTTTATTTCAAAATAAGTGTAGCTTCTTTCCTTCTACAAATTGACATTCCATAACCTTTTATTATTTGACAATATATGATTCAGTTTCTCCAGAATAACGTTTATCCAGTCAATGTCATTATTTTTTGAGCCTTTTACATTTTACAATCTTTTAAAGGAATAGATCAACATTTTGGGAAACACGCTCCTTTGCTTTCTTGCAATGAGCCACATGGGAAGATTGATACCATTGTTATGTATGTACGGTAAATATAAAACTCAAGCCAGTAGATGGTTAGCTTTGCTTAGCACAAACACTGAAAACAGGGAAAACCCGCTAGCCTGGCTCTGTCCAAAGGTAACAAAATCCACTTCCAGGAAGTTACCGGCATATTCCCCCTGCAAAACCACTTACTGTTGTTTTTACCTCTGTTTTTATATGGATTAAACAAATGAGATATGAAATGAGTTTAAGAGGTGTGGCAGTCAGATTTGGTTAGCTGTTTCCCCCTGTTTCCTGTCTTTGTGCTAAGCTAACAAATTGCTGGTGCTAGCTTTACTGTACGTTCTCATCTAACTCTGAACTGAGTCTAGCGTACATGTGTCCAAATATATGGGAAATGATTAGCATTGTTCAAGTGTATACTTTTAATAACTTTGTAGAAGTATGCCAGTGGTAAATGGTCATTTCATTGTTTTCATATGCTCCCCTATAAACTGCTGTGTTTTACATATTTAGATAACATAAGATGTTGACATTCAGAGGTTTTAATTAAAGGGACCGCCAGCTGCTGCAGGCATACTCATATCTGCTATGGCTTGCTAATTAAAAACAGAACTCCTATGAATGCTTTCTGTGTTAACAACGCTGTATTACCATTTTGGTGGTGACGATGTGTGTATGTGTGTGTAGGATCATGCATTATGATTTAATAGTGGGGCAGGTACACCCTTATAAAAATGTGGTGTGTAAACTGAGACATTTATTGGGTTTTCCACATGAACACCACCTCTGGAAAAGCCATACTTGCTGTGGTTTGCACAAAGAGCCTTCTAATGCTCCTGTACAGCGTGATTACACTTCCGCTCTGTGTGTCAGTGTCTATGTGTGCGTCTGCGTCTATGTGTGTATGCGTGCGAGACGAAAGCGGGGTGCGGTGGGTGTAAGAGTCGTTTCCTGTTGGTGGGAGTGGGACAAAAATCTGTTTCCTTTGCCAAAGCCCTCTGCATTGTCTGAGGCTTCTGTGTTCTTGTATGAAGCAACGCACACAAAAACGAACACACACACACACACGCGTACAGATACACACTTACAAAGATTTGCTCTGAAAATAGAAAAAGTGGGAGCACGCAAGGCCAATAGCACCGGTCACAAGCACTTTTGCCACCAACGCACACACGTCTACACACCAAAACCTTTGCTCGTATCTGTGACCTGCTGGATTGTCCGGGGCTGAAATAGCTTTGATAGTGCTGACACATACACTGACAAAAGCCTTGGCTCTGATATAATGAGTGTGTGTCCACATGCATGCAGAATTGAATGTGTGTGTTTTTTAGGGAGTGTGTGTGTGTGTGTGTGTGTATAAACAGCATGTGGAGGAGCTGCTGGTGTTATCTGTTGTCCATTCTGAACATTCCGTGACAGCAGTAGTTAGGGAGTATCTCACTATGTGGGACTGATAAATTTGAAAGGAACTGCTGAGTTTAATTTAGCTGTTTGGGTGTCTAACACTGATCAGTACCCAGAGCATAATTCCTGAAAATGCAGAACTGACCGGCAGTTTTTCTGTCAGCTTGTTTCAAGTTCTGGTAATAGTAAGGGAGAGGCATGTAATGGATTCATGTTACACCTGGAAATAATTTTATTCATAAATACATTATTTTATCAGTGATAGGGCTCCAGCACAATTCAAACAAGGTGGAATTGGAGTGTCCTCAGACGATGTTAAATACAGTGCAATTATACCAGTTCACTCACTGCAACTTGAGGTCGTTCTATGCACACAAGATGATGGTGGAATTTGCAAGTCAAGGTGAGGGTGATGGAGAAAAAAAAAGTACATATATACAGTAAAATTCAAAACAACATGTGCTGCAGCTGCAGCAAGAAGTTACAGCTAAGATGCTTTGAGCTGATCCTGGCATTGTTTTTCATAGCAACATGAGCAGCCATGCCAGCAAAAAGACAAAGGGATGGTATAGTATGTTTGTCCCTAACAGGATGGGCAGATTTTAATAGGAACAGATGAGGAGTTTGGGTTCGGAGATGATTTAGGGTCAGGTTATACTAGAAAAGAACTGTGCAACCACGTTGGCAATCAAAAGCTTATAGTGTTTCCGAACGGCCACGCTTGAAGACTGAAAAGTGTTAGAGAGGGCAGAACTCACATGATATGGTGTGTTTTTTTTACCTTAGAATGAGCCGTTTTGATTTACAGAGGGACCGTGTCCTCTTCTACAGAGTCCGCCACATTTGTACAGTAGCCCAGAATTGACAAACCAAACACTGACACTAGATAGAGCTGTTTGCATTTTTCTCACGTTTTGCTACTACCGTAGTTTCCCCAGAGCGCTTGGAAGTGGAGGGTGAAGCCAGAGAGTTACAACTACACTGCTAGATGCCACTGAATCCTACATACTGGTCCTTTAGGTACTCCAATTACCATTATGCATTAATATGATGTTCTTGAGGGGCTGTGCATGATACTTGAAGCTGTGCAATGTGGAAAATAACACTTCTTAGTTCTTTCAAGGACTCGATTCTGGGACCCAAGGATGGATTTCTTTCAGAATGATTCATTCTGGTGTCATCTGTCTACATACGGCTGAACAAGCTCTGATTGTGTCCTGTGCATACTGCGGCAAATAAAGCTCAGTAAGCTGCCTGTGAGAACATACCGGTGTTTTTTTTTTTTTTTGTGAACTGCTTGCTTAAATTACAAAGTGAGGCTACAATAAAGAAGAGCGTCCTAACCCCACTAACCCCGTCCTAACTGTACTGTTACTAACTCAGTGACCTCTAAACATTAACAAACAAGCACTCCACTTGTTTGCAGACAATATTTTACATGATTTAGTTTTTTTTTTACTTTCAAAAAACATAATTGCACCAAAAGTATTCACACAAGTACAGTTTTACAAATACAGCATGTGCAGAATGTGTATGCATGTGGAAGTGGAGCGTGTGTGTACCTTGAGATGCTGGAGTTGTCGTCGGTCGTCATCCAGCTGCCTCCTCTTGTTTTCAATCTCTGTCTGCCTCTTCCTTTTCTCCTGTTACAACACATATATATTATGGTTATGCTGCGAGTGCATTATTAAACAGATGTTTTTAAGGAACACCACACTACGTCCTCAATAAAGCTGGGTACCAAATTAATAAGACATTACTGAAACTATTTTATGAGCAACGATATAAAAATATTTTGAATACCCAGCCCTAGTCTTTAATGGTAACGCTGATGATTTAATGGGGACTTTTGATGGGTACATGAGTACATAATGTTTTAAGCTAATTTAATTGCTCAGTGTGTCTGCAAAGGAGTAAAGAGACAGACGTTGGTATACAGTTACTGTATGCACGATATATATTTATAGGCACATATTATTCACACAGTTATTAGGTTATAAACAAACCAAATTCAAATGTATTTCACTAAATGTCTCCCATACATTGTGAATGTTTTGTGAAAATGTATATCACAATATACACAATTATACTGGGCAGATATCTGGATATTATGTGTCTGAAAAGATAAAGAGAGAGGATAAAACAGACGGACTGAGGATGAAAGAGCAATACAGAGAGAGGGGAGAGAGCAAAGGGAAGAGAGACACTGAGAGACAGAAAGACAGACAGAAAATGGCATTGAGCTGTAGCTACTGCATTAGCTTTTCGATGTCCTCTAATGGGTGAAGGAGATGGGATCTAAAAGGTTGAGTCATTAAGACGGGTGGTCAGATCCTGACAAGCAGCAATGATTGGTTGTTTCTACAGCCATCAGTGTGCCCTGATGTGCCCTGACTCCATATATGTATGTGTATGTAGATATAACTTACAGCGATGGCCTGGAGTCTCTCCTCTTGTGACACCTCAGCCATCCTGGAGAAAAGAAAGGGAGATAGATTGAGGGAGAAAGAGAAAGACAGACAGAAATAGAGAGTTATAACCACACATGACCACCAACATCAGACATTACACGCAGTGACGAATAACTCTCCTTGACCGTAGCATTCGCTCACCAGGCTTTTACCTTCTGACGACTTCCCAGTGACTGAGGTTAAATATCTGTCTGTTTGCACTAAATCAGTGTCTCTTTCCTGTCAAGGAGAGTCAGTGAGCGCATGCTAATGTGCTAGCAGGGCTCTGCTGGAGATTCCTGCTCTAATAGGTTCCAGAGCTCCAGGATGGAGGATGGACAGAAGCATAGCTGAAGCAAGAGCAGAGAGACTGCGAATGTTGACCGACTGAGACATGGATAAAGTTATCACAGTATCAGGCTGCTTCAAAAATCATATACCTTGCATCAAGTTTTACATCTTTTGCTGTAGTTAATGGCTAACATAATATTTTCCAAGTAGAAAATGATTCATGACCTCCTTACATCAGTCAGGGATTGGCTGAAATCATCTGAATTTACATTCCTATATAAGGAGCCAATTTTCACTGATGTTGTGTTGGAATGTATATACAAGGGCATCGCTTTCATTTCAACTTTGGAGGGGGACATTCACTGGGGAGTGTTCAAAGTCATAGAGAGCTCTGTGTTCTTAATGATTTATATAGACTATTTTGATTATAAATCAATCACTGCATTCTGTTTTCAAGCCCAAATGTCAAACAAATTCCACAATTCCAGCTTCTGAGTTGTAGAGATTTGCCGCTTTCCTTTGTTTTACATCATTGTAAAGTAATACAATGCGTGATCTTGGGGCTTTGGACTGTTTGTCGGACAAAACAAGACGTCACCTTGGACATTTTTCACTGTCCAAAAAGACCAAAAGATGAATTGATTACTTGAAAGTAAGTAATAGTGAATACAGTTGCAGTCCTAATTACAAAATCACAAATTTACTTTTAAGACAAATGGATGAGCTATGATTTACTACCTCTATTTGAATTTATGTATGAGGACATCAATTTCTTATAATAGCACATGATACTTTCAAGGATGGCTGAGATGGTCTTGGTCACTTGATAAAGTTGATTGATTACAAAATGAGAACTATAAGGACTCTGTCCCAATATAAAATTACACCTTATAGAATTATGTTGCTATAATATCAAGAATCTCTGGAATGTAATAAGCAGTATAGCCCACAAGTGTAGGCACTTAAGTGTGTATAAATTGCATTGGTTGCTCAAGTTACAGAAAAGAAGAGGACCTCTCTGACTCTGACTAGTGTCTCAAGCCACAACATCTTAGCAGCAGTGTGCCTTTTACAGCCTGAACTCAAACTGCATCACAATACATATGGGATTCTCATTTCTCTGCACTGGTCCAAACCAAACTCTTACAAAAGAGCTATGACAACAACACATCTATGTCACTCCCCACCCTCCCCTCTCCAGTGCTAGTAAAGAATGTGTTAAAATTATTTGATCGTGTGACTCCTCTTGATGAGTGGCCAGAACACCAACTGTAACTGTTTAAATTTTCTTGCATCATTTCCTAACTAAGTGCTCATAAAGCTTGGATTGCTGTAGGGTTGGTCTGATTGTTACACTTTTTATTTTTCTCCCACAAAGGCATGCAATGCAATAATACTGTCTCCTCTCAAAATATAAAGAGGCTTACATTTTCATTGTCATGCCTCTGTCCAATCACAGGAGCTTAAAAACCTCAAAAACCTTCTGTATGATAGAAGGACGCACTGCAAAATGCAGGATTTATGGACATTTTATGGCACAAATTTATTCAAACACCACACTGCTCTCTTGCTCTCCCACTAAGCCACATCATCACATGGAGACCCTTTGGGAAAAAAGTAAAACCACAATCATCTGATCAACCACTAAGTACACACACACACACACACACACACACACACACACACACACACGCACACATTGTACTGTCTAGACACATTCTTTCTAATTTTCACCTTTCCTACTGATCCAGCACAAACAGGAAGAAAGAAAAAACATCTGGAGCAAAATTAGGCTGAATAAAAGAAGTACTCTCAAATTCATTAATCAATAATAAAATAAGGGACCAATTTCAAAAGTACATTATGTTGCTAACACCTTCAATCAGCTGTTTATGTTTATGTTGTGTATTGACAGTGTTTTAGAACTTATTTTCACCCTAGAATCTCCATCCCTTCCCAGCCCTCAGGTTACAGTGGAAGCATGGGCGGTTAGCTGACTGAGCATCTGGATCAGTTCATGAAGGAGGCCTGCAAGCAGCGGTTGACCATCCTGACCTGGGGAAGGTCACAGTGAGCATCAGCAGAGATGAGGCAGAACACACCCACAGCGTAGCTATGGCAGGCGGAAACTGCACAGAGACTGGTAGTACAGAAAGAACGAGTCACATGTTTTTTCTATTAATGTCAATTACCTCTTTTAGATAGATCAGTTGTGAAAATAATTAACAGAATAAACCAGCATACACTGTAAATCACAACTTTACTCAAATGTTTATAAGCAATAGGTTGCACACAAAACCTATGTAAACCTGACACAAAATAAATGTGTTACCCTCATGACCCTCATATATTCTCTCAGTTTAACAGAAATTTTTAACCACGTAATTTGTGTTTTTTGAACGCTGAATTCGATATCATATTTACAGGGAATGTATAGCTTACACTAGGAATGAAATGTAATTTTACATACAAATAACATCATATTTTTAATTTTCCAGCTGCTAATTCATCAGCGTAATCAAGCAAAATCTTTGAGCAAAGTTATGCTGACATAATCTTAATATGCTGGTTTATGTCTTCAAGTGTTAACACACAGATTTTTCTTCAAACCCCATTTGTCTACTTAACAAAATTAGACAAACCTCTCAAATACATTTGTGTTTGATTTCATCATCATTAGAGGCCTTTGCCTGAATAAAATGTTCTAAAATCTTCAAGAAGTTTGAGTCGGAAAGTTCATCATTGATTTCAGGAATAGAAGTTAACTGCAGGTTCACTTACTAGCTTTTTTCCAGAGCTTTCAACTGTTTTAGCTGCTATCCCCTGACAGAAATTCCAAAGTCACATGACAACAAGTGAGACAACTCCATGACAACTGAGCTAACTCTATTAGCTGATTACTTTGTCAAATCAATTAAAATGTGTGATTAAAATAAGGAATTATCTAAAAAATACGTAAAATATGTATTTCAATTCTGACCAATTCCGGTTTTGGTGCTATGGAGGTTTGATACCCATGCCACAACAGTGTAACTGAAAACTGTCAACAACAGTGGAAAATCAGCTTTGTGACTTTGTGTGTTGTGATTAAGAATATTCAGTTCATGCCAAAGTTAACAGCAGATGTCCACTGGACCAACTGGGAGTTAAGTGCTCAGATTTTCCAAGCTTGTCACACCATTCAAACCTGAATTTCAGTGCTAGCCCTGCTTCACTAACCTCTAGTCTACAGCTGTGATGAATTTTTAAGATGTATTGGAAAAAATATGTCCACCTTGGTGGAACATTGAGGGCCCGTGTCCTGCTGCCTCTCTCATCAATTATGGACTATCAGGGAGAAAGGAAAGCAGACACAAAGACAGGCATCTTTGCAGCATAGTTAGAAGAGTAATTACATTTATGGCTGAGAAAGGAAGCCATCTAGGGAGGCCGGCAGTCGCTCACAGACAGGCCAGCAGAAACATATTGAGAGAGATAAATATAATAGATCAACAACAGCAATCAGACAGGACTGAGACAGGAAGTGATCTTAGCCGGCAGACTTACATACAAACAGCAAACTAAACCTAGGGATGTTTTTGTCAATATGTCAAGGCAGGTGCGCTGCCGAAGAAGTCAAGGAAACGGACTAATGACCAGCCCTATTCCCTGTTGAGTGCACTGCCGCTGTAGCCTTTCCAGGAACACATTAGCTGCCTGCATAGAGCACCAGCTAATAGCATTGTGCTCATGGTCCTCTGGCACCAGCAGTCACTTAACACACTTTCTATTTGCACCGAAAAGCCCTGAAAGTGATTACCTTAATGCTTACGGAGCTAAATGAATAATAATCCCACTGAGCATCTTTGTTTAGGGATATCATGTTGATCTAAAACCCAACCTGGATTTATAACCCTCCTTTACAAGGTGAGAAGAAATGGTTTTCCTTTCACTGAATTGGCAGGATGAACCAAACCCAAATTAGATATAGACCTTCCTACAACATGGCTGGTTTGGGGGTTTCACCTTTCATTGTACAAGATTATTGTCCACAAAAACATCCCTTTTGAATCTTCTAAAAGCATGTTTTTGTAAAGGAGCAGTTTGTTACAGCCATCTGCACTAATATGTTCCGAAAAGTCGGTTAAGAAACATTGTATGAATTATTTATGCTACACAGTCATTGAAAAGGTCAGCAAGTACATGCTGTACTGATCTGTGCACGAGACTAGTACACTGTGGCACTCTGGGACAGACACGGGCCATCCATCTATGTGTCAATCTGTTGGTGGTAGTGGCAGACTACACCAGGTCTCATCACCACTAATCTGGGATTATTTTAAACAAATACCACAACAACCTGGAATTGGACACCACGACTTACTGAGTCTGATCCTGCCTCCCACACTCACACATACTTAGATGCACGGATTGTTTTTAAAGCTTGTTTTTATAGCATCTGTGCTTCATTAGATAGTAAACACTTCAATGCACAATGCCTGCGCTGATCTAACACCTACAACATTGCAGCCATATGGGATGTCCCTTGGCTTGATGAAATGGCATTAACAAAAACATGAAAAACAGGAAGAAAAATATAAGAATTCTTATGAGGAGGGTTATTAAACTAAGCCAATTTTTGTGGACATCTTATTGTCAACAAATCCCATGAAAGACAAAAACTAACAACTAACAGCTTATTTTCCTGAGCCGACGACCTCCATTGTTGTCCAGAAAATATTAAAAACACAT